ATTTCTTAAAAAAATGGAAGGCAATGAGATCCAGGAAATTACATGCTTAATGTTTCTTCCAGGTAAATGGGTAGAAAGGATTATAAAAAATAAAGCCACCAAGCATGAACAATAAAAGTCTTGCTAAAGAAAAATCAGCATTGCTTCTACAAGTAAGTCCTATCTAAATTCTTAAGAGTTCTTTTAAAATGCAGAGAAGCATCTGCACAGGGGATATCCAGTTGTCATAATTCATCCAAGCATTTACAAGTCCTTTAATAAAATGTCTCACTACAGACATTTTGGCAGATGTAACAGTTATGGGATCAGAGGGGAGATATTATAGATCAGAGACTGTTAAAAAATTGAAAGTGCAGGTAAAATAACAGTTTTTAGAATATAGGCCAGTAAATACTTGGGTCCACCAGTGATCTGTATAGGTGCTGGTATTTATAAATTTGCTTATACATGTGAACATGGGGGTGACAAAATTTTGACAACAAACACCAAATTGCTCAGTATGGTTGATACAAAAAGGGATTATGAAAAACTGCAGAAGAGTAGCAGGGTCTGTGAGGATACAGTTCAGAATAAACAAATGTGAGACTATATATATATATTAATAGCTAGATACTGGAAAGATAAACGTGACATCAAATTAGAAGATTGGTATAAAGAAGTATGGGACATTGTGTTAAATGACAAATTGACTGCTGAACTAAAGATGAAAAGAAGGGAAATAAGTTTGAATATTTCTTATACTATTTGGGGTAGATTTATTGAATTTGTATTAGTGAAAGGAAAGGGGAAAGCCTCTAAACAACAATCAATACAATTTTGGAAAAGAGGTTCGTAATAAAAGAATTACTTGAAAGAGTCCCGTGGGTATGGGGGTGCACTGGGTTTTAGATTCTTAGTCAGTATATTTGTATTGTTTTGTATCGATGTATTTGTTTTGGAAAATAATAAAAAACAATTTAAAAAAGAAAAACAACCTTGGTTCCCCAGATATTCTTGGACCAAAACTCCCAGAAGCCCTCACCACTAGCTGTGCTGGGCTGGATTTCTGGGAATTGTGGTCCAAGAACATCTGGGGACCCAAGGTTGGGAACCACTGCTTTTGACACACGAACTGAAATTCTGTGCAAGCTACAAACCAAATTCAATTAAATGAGAGCTCTTTACAACTGTGGATGTATCAGGATCGCCACAAGATGGCAGAGGAATACAAAATGAATCGCAGAAGAATGCTTAAATTTCCACAAGGTGTCAACCAAGAGAAAACAGAAATTACTGTTTTGACCAAATAATTCTGTGCACTTAAACTTTTACAGTCCTATTCCCTTAAACACACTTATTCAGAAATAAATCCCACTGGGTGCAGTGGAATTTTCTTCCTGTTATGTATGCTTAGAACTGCAGTTCTACAGTATAATCTTTAAATATTTATTCAAAAGGCTTGGAGGGCACATTCTGAGGAAGTCCTACTAAATCCAGCAGGCCTGAATTTTAGGTAAACAATAACTATTTGGTGGAAACAGGATGCAAGCATCTCCAAGTGTGGCACTACAAATGTACAACCTAGCCCCCCCCCTTACACCCACATATTACAGTCTCATCCCTTATAATTTCATGCCAAACATAGCACCATGGTATTTAGATGCAAAGTAGATGTTGAGACATATACCGTACAATGGCCAAAATCCTGTTGCATAGCAAAGTAAATCTCTCAATAACTTCCACGGATTCAAATGGGCCTTTTCTATGTGTGACTTATTTCACCATAGCATGTCACAGTTAAATGTAGGCACAAGTGAGCCAATGAAGCACATGGAGGAGCTGATTCACTTACCATAATCTCAATTGATTCAACGGGCCTACTCTACTGGGATTTACTGCACTAAGTAACAGGATTCGGGCCATTGTGGGCCAATGAACTGCATCAGTAGCACTGGCTCTCACAGTCCCCAGGATCAGTTATTGTTCTGGGGCATTGTTCTTTCTTCTGGCCTGAACACAAGGATTTCAAGGCAGGTATTTATTAAGCTGGAGATAAACAAATCTCAACATGAATCTACAAGTTCTAGCTTTAAATGTATGAGTGTACTCTTTCTATTCTGGAGAAGAGCCTGGGCCAGCAACTCATAGACATGAACAGGTTGGACTCAGTTCCATTCAAATCAATGGATCTTGACTGATACTGTGTGTTCCATCCCTTTTCAGACTGTAATGTGTGTAGAAGATTAAGGGGATATAAGGGCTGCCTTTTAAACATTCTAAATCTTTCAGACTAGGTTTTTCTAGCGGTTTGGAACCACAACTAAGTACAACAGCTGCTGCACAGATTAAATACAGCCTGGGAGGAAAGCTGCATGATCACATACTCTTCCCCACAGAAACTGTATGGTTGCCCTCAAGTAGCAATGGAGGCCTTTTTGTAAAGTGCACAGCATTTCTGTCCCCACTTCAACTTGCAGAGCAGCTGCTGTATTTTGTAGCAGGGAAGGAGGTTTTTAAAATAAGATTTTAAAATGTGTTAAGGGCAATCCTTGTACCACCTCATGATATTTGACAAGGATATGGATTTGGAATGGTCTCCACTCAAAGGTGCAAATCAACTGAGTGGCTGTGGATTAGGATGGTCTGGAATAACACACACATACAGCCTGCCATTCATCAAGCATTCCTACTGTTTCAAGAAAGTGTTTGTTCTGTTAACGCTCTTTTTAATTGGCCCCTGGAAATCTCACAAAATGTACCCAATAATATAGAAATGCTGAAAAACGTATTTCCATAAATAGGCTCAAACACAGTCTACAATTTTGTTTCAATTTCCCCCCCTACCATTAAAAAGTTTCAGCCTGAGTCCCCAGCAAAGTATTCCTTCCTCCCCAACTACTCCTTGCACTTAGGTTCTGACTGGAACAATACAGCAATCACTTTCAACACACGTTTCTAAACTCATATTATAACCTATAAAACTATTTTTATAAACTTGGAAAATGCTGACTTGAGTCTTGAGTTGGACAAGTGGAAACAAAAATGAAACAAAGCAAAACCGCTGGGGACAAAATACTAGAATTTTAGAATGGTTATGCAGTTATTATACCAACAAGTGTGAAAAGTAAAGAGATCCTTGTACCTATTGACTAAAAGCTTTGTGGTTTTAAAGATGTGTTTGTATACACTAGGATGGGAAAGCTGGTCTTTCATGTGTTTTGACCTATAACCCCCATCAACCTCGTCCACATTCACATAATTCATTCTCACTGTGGTAATTGTAATCTACAATTGCTATACAAACTTACTTGTGTTGGAAGTTGCAGTA